TCTGGGATTTGTAGCTCTACAGGCATCTGTAAAAATATGAATTATCACCTACAGGCGAATCACACTGTCGTAGTCCCTAAAAGTGCAGGGACAGTATTATTATTATTATTATTATTATTATTATTATTTATGTGTTTATTTGTTGTTGTTTGCATTGAGCAGCTTTGGATTTTGATGCAGTTTAGGCTTTGTGAGTGAAAATGTGATGATACACTAATTTAGTACAAAAGCTAAAAAAAAATAAAAAATTCCCACAGGCTCAATCAGAGATAGTCTGCTACTCACTGTGGGCTTATTGTTTGGCTTATTCTAACAAGTCACAAGGGCAAGGGATTATCAGATGCTAAGTCTTTGTTAGCTTCAGAGTAAAGGACAGGATCCACAACATCTGCTTGAGTGTTTGAGCAGTTAAAGAGAGTCTGCTGCATACCACCTCCCATAAACACACACACACACACACTGTATGGATCTCCAGCCGATCCCCCTGCCCCCAGCACAATGATGATCCAAACAAGACGTCAACTCACAACTCAACAAGATTTCACATATATAATACCATTCACAGCCATAGTGGACTACAGGAAAGACTACACCACTTCTTCCAGCACTAACTCCACTTCAGGGATGTATTACTTGCTACATTCCTTCTTTCAAATTGAAAGTGCAGTCACGTGTTGGTGCATTTCTGAATTTCTTCTGTCTTGTTAATTGCTTTCGCTTCATTCCGCATTGGCAGCTTGGACCACAAACACATGGGAATGTACACCAGTGCTATTGATTACTGAGGCAAAGTTAAAGACACATTTCATGCCACAATGAGTGAGTCATGACTGTTTAGTTGCTCCGCTCACTCATTTCCACATCTCGTTCGCTCTCGCACTCTCTGAACAAACAGGTGGCTTCATTAGGCCAGTTATTTTTTTTAGAGGGCTTTAATTGCAATTCTGTGTACTGATGCTGTGTTCTTCATCCACCTACAGACTGATTAAGGTTGCAGTATCGGGCTAACGAGAACACGCTTTGTTCAAATCATGCTGTAATTAGTGCCATAGAGATGCTGGAAAAAGCTACACATTTAGCCAAGAGATTTACCCCAACCCCCCTCCCCCCACACCACACACACACACACACTCACACTCACACACACACACACACACACATACACACCCCCAATACCTCTTCCTCCATCTGTCTAATATAGAAATAAGAGGAAACAGAGCAGAGGAAACCAATCACTGAGGAGAATTGCTTTTTAAAAGCCTGAGGGTGGTGTAATACTGGCCATAGTTGGAGTCAGCACTACAGGCCCAAATTATACATTGCAGGACACGGTGCCAAATAAATCTGGCCTTGTATCGGAATCAAAATCACTCACATTTTTGCAATAATGTAAATGAAAAGATTGCACATCTTGCTTGAAATTCCTGTCCAAGTAGGTAGATTCTCTTTGCATTTTCCCCATGCACTTCTGTGAACTGTTCCAAGTCAATTTTTCTACCTCAAATTGACTTCAAAGCTACATGGCTAATCCTCTGATCCTGTCATTGCCCTTTACCATTATTAATCTCATTAATAATCCTGTTAGAGACTTTCAGACATGGTTGTTTATTGGGTATTATTGTTTGGTGGAGGAGAAGAAATGATGAGACTGAAAAAAAGGGATTGCGCCACCATCGGAATTTTAAGCAATTATTTGCTGTTTTCTTGACTTTATTTGGTGCATACAAATAAATGAATTAACAAACACAAAGAAAATCTCTTAATCTGGCTCTCACACCTGTGAAAATATGGGAAACTGGAAATTGAGAGCTTTCTCTCCCTGAGCTTTCTCACAGAAATCCTCTATCTTGGCAGTGACAGTGACTGTCTAAATCTGTGAGTTTCAGCTAACAAACTGGCAGAGACAGCAGGTTTGGGAAGATTTTGTATGTTTCTAACCTTTCCGGTGTTCTCAGTCCCATTTTAAGAAGGATTGCATTGTTACTTTGTTACTTTACCTTTAGAATGGAGGCTTTAAATGTCAATACATGCTGACCATTTATACAGAGTGCTTTTGAGTTGTTCTTGGTGTCAGACATTAAGTTAGAAAGTACATATTTATAGTACTGGAAATATAGTAGTGTCTAGTATAAATATAGTACAGGCCAAATGCAGCATAATGTGATGAGTTAGTTGTAACTTTACAGAGCTTTAGAAGTTTTATTATATTTTGATTATGTTGTATAATTTTTAGTTTGCTTTTTATGCTTTTTTTGGGAGGGGATGGGGGTTCCGTTTTAGCAGTCAGAGAGATTGTTGGTTATGACAGCGTTAAATCTGCATCCAGAATGAACAATGGAGTTGTGAGTTTCTTTGATAGTTTTGACAAAGTGGCCGTAGTTGTTGAGCAAGGTCTAATGATTCGGGATGTCTTTGTTCAAGAGGTACCGCTCGTTAATCCGGCAAAAAAAAGAGAATTTTGTCTCAAGTCCCTCCATTTAGTAATGAGATGCTGGAGAGGGAACTGGCAAGACATGGGCAGTTAATGTCACCGATAAGATTGATTCCTCTTGGTTGTAAATTTCCGCATTTGAAGCATGTTGTTTCGTTTAGATATGATAGAATAGAATATGATAGATGTTTTAGATTATGATTCTAAAAAACAACAATAAAGAACTCAATTTAGTATTCAGGTTCAGAGTAGATGATTATACTGTTTATGGCTCCTCAGAAAACATGAAATGTTTTTAGGTGTGGAATGGAGGGTCAACTTATACGTTCTTGTCCAGAAAAAAATACTGCTGAGGCTAATAATACTCCAGAACAAGTTGAATTAAATTAATCTCAAAGACAAAACCAGAATGAATCAAATGAAACTCAGAAGAGACAAAGACAGAATGAATCAAGTGAATATCAGGGACAAAAACAGAATGAATTAGCTGTATATCAAAGACAACAGCAGAATGAACTTCAGAGACCAATACTGGGTGAATTAAATGAACTTCAAAGACAAAAACAGAAAGAAGTGAATTAATCGCAGGGATAAGAATGATATGGATCACATGAATCTTAGGGACAATTTTTTTTTTAAAATTAATCTCAGAGTCAGAAACAGAATGAATCAATTGATTCTCAGGTAACAAAACAGAAACAACAAAACAGAGCTGAGAGGTTTGAACAAAATTAAATGTTGAAGCAGGAAAACAAAGAGAACTCTGTTGAGAACAGTCAACAGATAATCACTGATACTGAGGAAGAGGCAAGTACTAACATGGAAATAAAAGAAGTTGGATTGCGTTGGATGAAGAGAGTGAGATGCTTATAGATGATAATTCTTCCAGAGATAAGGATAAAAAAAAGTAGAGATGTTTTTTCAGTCTCCTGATAAAATGAAAAAGTTTCCTCTTCAAAGTAAGTGTTTTCAGACTTTTGATATGTTGGAATGGACTCTGATGAGGATTCTTTAGCCTCCACACAGTTCTGGTCCTTGAAATAAAGTGGTTACTCAGTGTTAAGGATCAAGAAGCATCAAGAGATTTATTTGTTAAAGAAACTTGTTCTGAAAGCAAAAAAAAACAAAAAAGAAGAAGATGGTGAAGATGTTTAGTATTTTTTTATAATTTGTTTTTATTTTCTTTTTCTTTTGTCATACGAGTGAGTTAAAAATAGGTAGTGTAAGGTCCACGCAATTGGCCCAATGAAGGTATCCAACAGTGGCTGAAGGTTTTCGGTGCGCAAAGTTATTTAATTTTAATTAAATTCTAATATGACTCCATTTTATTATGACCTCAAATTTAGATTGAAATGCAAATTGGTTGTTTGTGCATTTCTAATTATTATTATTCTGACATTTGATTATTCTAGATAACTCTTTACTTTATTAATTAATTTATTTATTTTTAATATTTACTTTTTTTTATATTTACTCGTTCATTAGGAATCTATGTCGCTCAGAGTGTCTCACGTCGGCTGTTTTACACGACCTCATGATCACAAACTCACCAGTCTGATCATTAGCAAGAGATTATGACTAATACTATTTAATAGGTCGCCCATGCTTATCATTCTTTAAATAGTAGTTCTGTTTAGCCCCCTACAGTCAACTATGTTGTAGGATATCAGACCGAATCAGACAATCTAAGATTTGGTCAAAACATGGTTGAAACATGAGGAGCCGAATTCCACACAACGCAAGTACCTCCAGATTCTAGCTGAACTGGTGCATTTAATATAAATTTTAACCTAATTGAGGAACTCAATGCGAGGGTTAATTAAGTGATTGATGGTTGTTCAGATCTATGCAATTGCACATATTGCTGTAAACTTGGGATTTCACATTTTCATCCTCTTAAACTAATTATTTCCTCACTTTCTCTCTTTCTGCAACTTGTGTGAATGCGTGTGTTTATGTGTTAGATTAGTTTATGTCTTAGATTTATCCAATAAAGCCTTATTTATATTGAAAAGAGAAGTATCTTGTGTTTTGTGCTTACAAGTTAATGTCTTAAACTGCCGATCTGGTTACTGTGCTAATTAATAGTGTTTTCACTATATTTTGTATATAAATATCCATTGCAGAGTTGATGTTATACGGCTCGTTCAATGAATCGCTGGCCGTCTCAGTGAGCAGCCGTAAAACAGTGATTCTGTCCAAATTCCCTTTAAAATCTTAAATGATTCCCTTTGAGCTAAATGTACCTGTTTCCCTTACAATGTACAACTTAGTTAAAGCTCAAACAATAATCAGAGGTTATGCTAGTACTATTTGTCTAACCCCTGATAGTTATATAACTACCTACAACTTGAATAAAGCTGAGAAATTTTCAAAGATAAATGTCAGGGTAAAGGATGCATACCTCAATTCAGGAAAATACATAGCATGGAGTGTATGGACACACTCCACGCAACACGCTCTTCTGGTTACAGAAGCGCCCCGATCTTCTTGCAACATTCACTTAAGTACTCAGACTAAGACAAACATCTTCCAAATGGAGACGGGAACTTACAATTGGAATTTGCATTGATTGTGTACACCTTTTGGGTGATAGATGGTAAGTTGCATGAAAGACACTGGGAAATGGCACACCCTCTACAGTGAGCAAAATATCTCTAAACTCTTAGGATCTGTATTACTTTTTAATTTACTTCTTGTAAGATTGAGACCATTGTACCAGTCTCACGGAGACAATTCAAATGATACCAAACATGACTGTGAATATCACTTGCATTCATGCAGAACATTATATTTTGCTATTGACCATTCTGAGTGAGCTGAGTATGCTGAGCTGAGGGGAAGGAAGTGGATGAAAAGGATAGGTGAGAATGGACTTTTCTCACATCTTCTCTCAGTGAGATGTCGAAACGGATGTCTGTATGTTAATACACGTGGACCATATTTTTAAGGATCTAAGCGCATGGTCTAAAGTGCACGGCGCAAGTGCACTTAGACCGTGTCCAAATCCACTTTTGCTAGTTTAACGACGGGAAAAACAGTCGGCGCGCCGGGCGCATGGTCCAATAGGGTTGTACCTATTCTCTTAAAGAGTCATGGGTGTGTTTTGGGCGTAACGTGCAATAAACCAATCAGAGTCTCATCTCCCATTCCCTTTAAAGGCCAGTTGCGCTCGCGCCATGGCAGATTCGCTATTTACATGGCAGAATTTGCAAGAGCAAAGACTGAACGCTTCTCCAGAGAGGAAAGATTCTGCTTGTGCGTGAGGTTAAAGCACGCAAGCAGACCATCTACGGGGCACAATAATAATCTTTTACATTGTAATCCTTTCATTTTTAATATTTGGCATGTTTGTGTGCTGCTCCCTGTGTGTGTAATAAGCTGACTGTACGTGCGTTGTGGACTCGCCTATAGGCACATATTGCTAACGAGCTCTTTAAATAACAAATAAAAAAAATAATGTGCCATTGACTTTGGACCAGGTTTAAGTTGGTCAATGGTGCAGTCTATTTCAGTTGCCTCAAAATAGCAATGCGCCTGAACACACCTCGTTTTCAGACCAGCACGTCCATGAGCGCACAAATGGGCGCAAATGCATTTCCTATTTAAACAACGTGGCGCAGGACGTGAAAATGACC